GGGTTGGCACTAGAAGCTTTCTTTGGGCCCATGATGGCTTATTTAGCAGTTACAAGCACTAAAAACACTGGAATAATACAAAATGTATCGAATGTATGCGTGGAAGCGACCGCACTGGCTTGTAAACACTGGCACACTAATTGAAGGCAGGGCAGTTAAGGCGCGCTCAGGCCAGACAGGCACGTGGACGCGTTCAGGACAAATGTTGTCAGTCAAGTTTTTCATCGTTGGTCAGGCCAAAATTTTTATGCTAAAACGCTTCGTTAGGCGATTTTATCATTAGACGATGCCTTCATTGGTCGGGAGTCCACTGCAATGTCACTGCATTCCTAAATGCATAGTAGACTGGCAAGCTGGATGCGTATCGGACAAGTGACATCATTTGTGTACTCTGGAATAAACTGTCCAGGTACTTGCCAGACTCAAAAGAGTCAACATACTTCTTTAGGTCCATATTGAGGAACTCAAATACTAGGAAAAGTTTACTCTCTTGCATTAGAACATCCTCCAACCTATTGATGAAAAGATTAAAATAAAACAATAATTTTCAACAAGTAAAACTTTTGACAGAAATTTTTAATAAATAAATAAATTATGCTGTTAGTACTGTATTTTATACTGTAAGGTTTAGTATAAACACTGTGTACAACACAAACAGTTGTTTATTTCCCAGAAATTTGGCAAAAAAAGCATGGTCGTAAGTCGAGTGGTCATATGTCGAGCAGGTCGTAAGTCGGATGGTAAGTGTAATTTCCTTGGTTAAACTCAGTTTATCCAGGTCTTTAAGGTTTTTTTTTTTCAGTGAGCCTGTCAGTATAATACATCTGTTAGCATTCCTCTATTATCTTAATGAGTTTTAACATATTTTGGGAAAATTAAGCCCAGTCTGTATGTTTTCATAGTTATATTTTTTGTCAATGGATCCGAGGTTACCGTTAGTTGACCATGGACATTTAAGTCTCGCTGTTGTAACCCGCTTATTTTTTAAAAAGACAAAGCATTGCAAAGGTTAACTGTTTCTACAGGAATACATGCACACAAAAATATATTGATCATTATTAAGTTCTCTCTGACACTCAGTATTAACTACTACTATGGTAAATTTATTCACTGACTCCATCAAAGACACCACAAATCCCCACGCAAACATCAACCAAATCTTTAAATGGGCTGCAGAAAACAATATGAAGTTCAATGAAGACATATTTCAATTACAGTGGACCCTCAACCAACGATGGCATCGTCTAACGTTAAATCCGACTAGCGATACATTTTAACGCAAAAATTTTGCCTCGACTAGCTCTAAAAAAACTCGACCAACACGATTCGTTCCGTCTGAGATGCTTCCACTTCTGGCCAGTGTTTACAAGCCAGCCAGCCACTGCGGCAGCTTCCAAGCATACAATCGGAACATTTCATATTATCACAGCCTTTTTAGTGATTGCACCTGCAAAATAAGTCACCATGGGCCCCAAGAAAGCTTCTAGTGCCAACCCTACAGCAAAAAGGGTGAGAATTACTATGGATATGAAGAAAGAGATCATCGCTAAGTATGAAAGTGGAGTGCGTGTCTCCGACTGGCCAGGTTGTACACAAAACCCCAATCAACCATCGCTACATTGTGGGCCAAGAAACGGCAATTCAAGGAAGCTGTTCTTGCCAAAGGTGCAACTATGTTTTCGAAACTGAGATCGCAAGTGATAGAAAGTTTTGAGAGACTTATTGGTGTGGTAAACGAAAAACAGATAGCAGAGATAGCACTCTCAAAGCAATCATATGGAAAAGGCTAGGAAGTTGCATGAGGATTTTAAATTTGAAAATACCTGCAACTATGGTGATGTGAGTGAATTTAAGGCCAGCAAAGGTTGGTTGAGAGATTTAAGAATCGTAGTGGCATACCTAGTGTGATAAAAGGGATGGTGAGGCTGCCAGTTTGGACCAAAAAGCAGTGAAAAATAGTGCAGGGAAATTCAAGGAGTACTAGGCAGTGAAGAATTGAAACCTGAACAAGTGTTTAATTGTGACACTGACAATGTTGTGAAACACTTTAGGAATGTCATAAAGGAACGGGAGGTACAGGCCTCTATGGACAGATATGTTGTGCGACAGAGGTCCAGTGACTCAAGCTGGTCCTAGTGGCATTAAAAGAAGAAGGGAAGTAACCCCGGAAAGGACTTGACAACTCGAAGTCCTAATGGAAGGGGATTCCCCTTCTAAACACTAACACCATCCACAGTCTCCCCTCCTCCCATCCCATCAGTCATCACCAGATCTTCAATAAAGGAAAGTGTCATGTAATTGTACATGTCTTCTTCAGTTTGTGTGTATTAAAATTAATATTTCATGTGGTAAAAATTTTTTTTTCAATACTTTTGGGTGTCTTGTACGGATTAATTTGATTTCCATTATTTCTTATGGGGAAAATTAACTTGACTAACGATAATTTCGATTAATGATGAGCTCTCAGGAACAGATTAATATCGTTGGTCGAGGGTCCACTGTACTCCGCTATGGAAAACTCAAAGAAATAAAAACTAGATCAGAATATAAAGCAAATTCTAACTATGCAGTAGAGCGAAAAACTAATGTGAAGGACCTAGGAGTGATAATGTCAGAGAATCTCACTTTCAAAGATCACAACAATGTCTCTACCACATCTGCCAGGAAAATGATAGAATGGATAACAAGAACCCTCAAAACTATAGATGCCAAGCCCATGCTAATTCACTTCAAATTACTTGTTCTCTCTAGGCGGCTGGAATACTGCTGTACACTAATGGCCCCTTTCAAGGCAGGCAATATTGCAGACCTTGAGAACATACAGAGAACTTTCATGCCATGTATAAGCACCCAAATTACTCGAAACGGTTGAAATCCCTTGATTTGTACTCCCTGGAATACAGGTGAGAAAAATACATGATAATATACACTTGGAATATCCTAAATGGACTAGCCCCAAATCTGCACATGAAAATCACTCCCTACGAAAGCAAAAGACTGGGCAGGCAGTGTAACATCCCCCTAATGAAAAGCAGGAGCCACGAGTACACTAAGCGACAAGACGATAAATATCAGGGGTTCAAGACTGTTCAGCTGCCTCGAAGCATACATAAGGGGGATTACCAAAAGACCCCTGGCTGTCTTCATGGAGCTGGACAGGCACCTAAAGTCATTACCTGACCAACTGGGCTATGGTTCATACTTTGGTTTACGTGCGGCCAGCATTAACAGCCTGGTCACGTACTGGGCACAGGGGAGCTGATCCCTGAAACCCACTCCAGGTATGCCTGAGCACAGAGCAAGAATTAGATTTTAATACTTCAAGTTGTAATTTTGTGCTGACTTTCAGGAAGGTAGGATAGTACTGTCAATGATAATGCCTACTTTCAGAGGAGCTATTTTATTTGAAATTAAGACACATGTGCAACATCTGGGTGTCTTTATTGTAGACGTTTCGCCATCCAGTGGCTTTATCAAATTCTAGGACATAACTTGAAGACAGTAAGACTATGTACAGAAGAAGAGGTAATCAGTCCCTCAACCTTGGAGTAGGTGCAAAGAGCACCATAGTCGTGGAGATTCTGAATCAGAAGCAAGGAGCCTGGCGCTTATATAGTAACGTCAGGTGTAGCAGACGAAGGCATAGTCACTGGTAGGCGGGATTCCCCAGTGGAAGTAGGTCCTTCCCAAAGAGATGGGTTAGTTGTAGTAGTAGTTGTCGTAGTCGTGAAGGTTATGTACATGTCCTCAGAATCAAGATTCCATGATGTTGCAGTGTCTGACAAGTTGTGCAAGAATGGTATATAATACCAACAAGATGAAATTAAGACACATGTGCAACATCTGGGTATCTTTATTGTAGACGTTTCGCCATCAATTAGTTTTATCAATACAAATTCTAGGACATAACTTGAAGACAGTAAGACTATGTACAGAAGATGAGGTAATCAGTCCCTCAACCTTGGAGTAGGTGCGAAGAGCACCGTAGTTGTGGAGATTCTGAATCAGAAGCAAGATACCCAGATGTTGCACATGTGTCTTAATTTCATCTTGTCGGTATTATATACCATTCTTGCACAGCTATTTTATTTGTTTGATTTGGTCAAGTGAAGATGCTGCTCTCAGTAATTCTTGTAAGCTTGGTAAATAATCATGATAATGATAAGCAATTATACATGTTTTAGAAACCAACTATTAGCAGGTCTTGATTGAATGAGGTTTTTATTAAGTCTCCAGCAATTATCTGATGCTTATTTAGTGTATTTTTCATGATTAGGTCTTCAAGAACATCACCCAAGTTAGCCATGTTGGTATGTGGTGATCTGTATTAAGTTCACTGTGTTTGAGATTTGTAAGTCTTTTGGTTGTAAACTGTGAAAAAAAAAAATTGCTAGAAGGTATTGTTAGTAGTTAAATTCCCGAGAGACGGAGTTGAGTAATTCTTTGCAAAGAAAATTTATTGCTGACATGATGTGTTGTTTGATAAAAAACCAAGGTAATTTTAAATTGACTTAAGTGAAGAATAACAGCAAATGCCTATCAATCTGAGAACAATGGATTAAGGAACAAAAAAGATAAGTCAGATGTTGATGGGAATGCTTATCTATTTAAACAAATGAAGGGAGAAAGGAATATCAAAACTTACCCAAAGAATTCTACACCCATTTGCAACCAAAACTGTAGTTATACAATATACTAATCAAATCTAAAAAATTTCCAAACTTCAACATTTCCGATGGACTGAACATCATACACCTTGAGTGATTATGCTCTGCAGTAACTAAATACCTCAAGCCTACCCTGAGGCAGTCACCAGACTCCTTTCTGACATTCAAAAATAATACTGCCACAATACAAGCAACCACTTCCTTCTTATCATACTTTACTGAAAATGGCCTCGAATATTGGCCAAAAAATATTGTTAGGTTTTTCCATTTTTTTTTTTTTCAAAATATTTGGGTTATATGACATTGAGAAGTTATGAAGCATTTACTCCTTACCTGATAACAGTAAGATTTTACAAGTTTTCTGTCCAGGTACTTGCCAGACTCAAAAGAGTCAACATACTTCTTTAGGTCCATATTGAGGAACTCAAATACAAGGAAAAGTTTACTCTCTTGCATTAGAACATCCTCCAACCTATAAATGAAAAGATTAAAATAAAATAATAATTTTCGACAAGTAAAACTTTTAACAAAAATTTTTAATAAATAAATAAATATAAACATGTAGGAGAGAGTGAGATTATTTTCCAGGAAAAGTATGCTTTAGACAGGGATGTGTGATGTCACGATGATTATTTAACATTCATAGATGGGGTTGTATAAGTGAAAGCCAAGATGTTGCATTCAAGCATGTACACACGCACATGCATTATACATGTATACTGTACATTTAAGCAAAATTTTAATATTGTATTATATCTTACAAAACAATGTTGGGATGCTGAAGCTCTTTCAATAAGGATATTTCTCGAATAGCAGTAGATGGAACACCTTCCTCCTCATTTTCTAATCTGATTTTTTTCATGGCCACAAACTTGCCTGTCTTCTTGTTCTTAGCTTTGTATACCACTCCATAAGTACCTTCTCCAAGCTTCTCTATCCGCAAGTAGTCTTCCATTCTTCTGAAAACATTATATTCAATTTAGGTAGAACGATTTTTTAGTTTAAGAATATGGTTTCAATAGACTAATGCTATTTATTAACAAATTCCATGTTGGACACCACTCTTAACACATCATCATGTCAAAAATTTTGGAGAATAAAACATCCCTTCATGAATGGTTTGGGTCATGTCTAATGCTTTTCTCTGGTGAATGCTTGTGGACCCAATGGAAATAAATTAGGCTGACTTGAATGAGTCATTTATGTGCCCTCAGAACCACTGAGTATTTATACAACTGTCTAAAATATTTGTAGATTTTCACAAATACCCTGGTACTGTAATTAGTTTTATTATCCAAGTCTTTCTTATTATTACATATTAAATAAATAAACACACACACACACACACATACACACAGGTACTCCTGGTGGCAAAATCTCTCACTTCACATAGTGAGTGTCCGGGTTCGATTCCCAGCAAAGGGGAGGAAACACTGGACATGTTTCCTTACACCGGATGTCTGTGCTCACCCATCAGTAAAATGGGTACCTGGGTGTTAGTCAACTGGTCTGGGTCACATCCAGGAACAAAACTAACTTAATTTGCCCGAAATGCTCAGC